TTAACAATTGTCTTAAAAGCACACTAGTTTTGTGCCCGCCCGATGGGCGGCGAGTTACATTTTTTTGTACTTTTACTTCTATTATATTATTATATGTCATTTTTTCAATGGTATCGGACTCCTATTTTCATATTTATTTATTATTGTTATTTATTATTCGTGTTTCTTCATATATGAGGGGTGCTTTGAATAAATAAAAAAATATGAGGGGCGCTACATTTAATCAAGGTTTTAATCATGATCAACAATAATGTCAAACAACGTTGTAACTTCAAAACTGCTTGGAAAATAGTATTCATACCATCTAATCTTCGATTAGCCTGCAATTTTCAACTTCATAAGATGTACATGGTTTAAGCTAGCGTACGCCACCTTACCGTACTCATATCGAGTTTTGCTATTTAGATCATTAATTAACGGAGTTTGGGATATGATACTATACCATAGTCTCTGGGCGAACCCCATTCTATAATTCTCAATCCTAATCGTAAGATTCATTTATAACAAAAATAATAACCAAGGATTATTATTTGTCAAAATATATTAAAGAACAACTAATAGGTGTGAACGAAGGTGTATATTACACCTCGATTGTATGCTAGTCTTTTCCACCATTATATTAAAGTACAACCAAACTTGCTATGCTTCTATATTACCTTCAACATTTTATGAATGATATCAAATCAAAATGTTAGTTATAGAGACACTTTGTCTTCGCTTCACATTATCATCAAATATTAAATGTGTGACTGGTTGTAATTGGAATTGTGTGATAACTTAATACAAATATAAAGGCGCCATGTTGTGCAATTAGTACAATAGATGAATTTACAGGACATTGATCAGGGTATGATCCTGCGTTAGTTTTACAGGACACCGGTTCGTGTATGTCCCGCACTGTTATACAGGATATCGGTCAGGGTATGATCCCGTAGTGGTAGGGGTGGGCATGCGGTTCGGTAAACCCGAACCGAACCGACCCGAACCCGAATTCAACCGAAACCGAAACCGAACTATTGTTATTCGGTTCGGAATTCGGACAAGAATAATGGGTATTTCGGAACCCAGGGTTGTCGTCACCGAACCCGAATTCCGAAATCCGAACCGAAAAACCGAAAAGCCCAGTCGGCCAGTCCCCACCCCAGCCCAATCTCTCATAGCCCACACACTAACACCCCACCACTCTGCCCAACCCAATCTCTCACAGCCCTAGCCCTAAGCCCACTCACCCACAACAAATATACAACCTCCACAGGCCACAGCAGCCATCCCTCATCGTCACCCACTCACCCTCCTCGCCGACCAATCTCCCCTCTCTCAGTTCTCTTCTCTTCACTTAAACCAAGAAAATCAAACATAAAACCCACATGCATCAGTCGAGATGAAGAGAATGTTGATTGGGGAGGTGCAAGGATCTTCGTCGCCACCGCCGTCGCCGCCGCGTTGTTCACTTCGTCAATCGCCATCGTCGTCGCCGCCGCCGCGTTGTTCACTTTGTCAATCGCCATCGTCGCCGCCGCCGCCGCCGCCGCCGCCGCGTTGTTCACTTCGTCAATCGCCATCGTCGTTGGTGCTGCCGCCGGCTTATTCTCTCGGTCAATAGCCGTTGCCGCCGAGTTCGGGTCTCGGGGTCGCAGGGGAGATGAGAGAGAGAGAGATTGAGTGAAGGATAGATTTGGGCAGATAGAGGAGGGACCAGAGAGATTGATTGAGGGAAGGATAGATCTGAGGGAGATAGAGGAAAGAGGAGAGAGAGATTGATTGAGGAGCAGATTAGATAGATGAGAGATGAGGGAGAGGGGAAGGAATAATTTGGGGTCGACTTTTAGTGGGGAATAGAAATAAAGTGGGTTGTTTTATATTTTCGGGTTTGGGCCTTGAAACCGGACCGAACCGAGATATAATTCGGTTCGGGTGAACCGAACCGAATTATATTTCGGTTCGAAATCGGTTGGGGGATATCTGGGTTCGGAACCTCGGTACATGCCAGTTCGGTTCGGTTCAAACCGAACCGACCGAACGCCCACCCCTACGTAGTGGATTTACAGGACACCAGTCTAGGTACGATCCACAGTGGTGTACCTTACATCTAATGTATTATCCGGAGAGTGTATGACTTGGCAAATTAAGAAGTAAAAAGCACTGAATCAACCTAACCATGCATGTGATTGAATTCTTGTGTAAAGATTACTTATGATGTGGTTAAGTGATGACTTCCTATGATGTGATATATGAAATGTGCATGTCGATGATGATGGTTAAGTGATGGTTTTCTATGGTGTTTTAGACAATGATTTACCATTAGATGGTGTGATGTTTCGCTATGTTGGGACAGGGTTAAATGGTAATGCCGATATGATGTGATACTTGATGCATACATGTTTATACAATGAGTTATCAAGAGGCTTGGTGATGGTCCTATGTTGTTAATGTATGAATTATTTGAGTTTGAGATGATGAATGTGGTATGACATGTGGTGATGGATGGATGTTTATTTGGCTGATAGAGATATAACATATCAGATGTATCTTAACAGTTAAGCTAAGCGAGTAAAGGCCGATAGGTGGGTGACGGGAAACTGAATACTCCATATTTTGCCATGGTCACTGGAAGGGACAATAAGTCCTTTCGAGTTGTACTATTAAAAGTAACAGAGAAGAATTATATCATTATCTTATGAGTCGGGTTATCCGGCGAGTATAAATGGTTACTAAAAATAGAATAGTAATATATGTATTAGCGTGTCACATTAAGTAAGGATTAAAATAGTTATTTACATCTCAACCATTATATATATATTAAGATTCGTTTATAAATCTTTTTTAATTAAGATGTTATGCATCGGAAGATGACTCAGTTGCAAATCTACACTATAGGAAAAAGAAAAGAATTAATGTCAAACAATAAAAAGAAAAAATTATAATTACATCAGAAAAAAGTAAAGACAATGTGTTTTTATAATTGTGCATGGAAGAAAATTCAATGATGTACGAAAATTTGAAAATAGAATGAAATTGGAATCGCATAAAAGCAAAGATAATGATATCATTTAATATGCGAGAAACGTAAAATTCATTCCCTAAAGATGATAAATACATATGTATATGTCCATTAACTTCTTATCAATTGAGAATGGACATATCATATAACCATAATTCGGTTTCATAAAGATACAAAAAATATGATGACCATTGGTGTGTGGTGATATTCTTAAACATATGAAATTGTTGTGTATCACTAAATTGAATTATGTTGATATATTTAATTAATCTTAAAATATAGGAATATCTCACATGAATAAGTTATTATGACTCTGGATTTGACTTAGCAAACAATCATTTTTACTTCAACAATTATCTCTTAATAATCTAGCAATCACACAAAAAATGTTATTTTTCTAGTACAGCGAGATACGAGTGTATTAGCTCATATATTTATAGTAGCTATTTTCTAACAAATTGCAACATAATTGTATTGATTAACATATTTATAGTAGTTCGTACAAAAAAATGTTAAATATTTCGTGTTAGAATACGAAAGAAGGTTATTCTTTGTTTTTTAGTTTTTCATTTTTAAAAAATCATATGTCAAATTATGTAAAAGTTAATAATTGGGTACCAACTAAGTTCATGATTTTTGGATTTTTTAATTATGTTTCAAAGATTATAAATATTATCAAACATATTATAAACTAAAAATTAAAATAGGTTATTTTTAGTTGTTAATGATTTCTATCATTTCGTAAAAATAGAATACAAAATTTTAAGCGTGATAGCTTTTATTGTGTAATGCACATCAGTTAACCATTAAATAAAAATATAATTTTATGTGTTGTATATTTTTTTATAAAATGAGTATTAATCTTGTTGTGATTAATTCCATAAATGATATTTTTTCTATTGGTTAAACAACTGAAATGATTATAGTTTGAGCTCCTAGGTTGCATGATTAAATCTTAGTTATGGTGATTGATATACATGTTTTGTTGTGATCAATAACATCAAATATACTTTATCCTACTGATTGAACACTTGAAATGATGATAGTTTGAGCTTTGAGGTCATAGGTTCAAATCTTGGTCATGATGATTGATACACATGTTTATTTAATTTAATTTTAATGTAATTAATAACTTAAAATCTTAAATGACATGGAAAATTGTGGAGCTTTCTTTGTCCTACGTGGCAAAAACTTTCTCCACAACGGCCATAATATATGTTAAGATAGTATATTGGAAGAGGTTCATGTATGATACTTAATAACATACTTACAGGTACGGCTAGGCTGAGTTGAGCTCATTGCTCTGATCCTGATTTTCCGAATTTTAACTCGGATTAGACCTAGTATGATTTTTCCCTATAATCAACGATCGTAATCCAAACCAGGCCTGCATCCATTTTTCCGTAGTAATGGGATCGGGTTTAATTCTCTCTCTTTTTAATATTTTTCTAATCCTTGATTCTACTTAATTACCAGAAAATTCGTGTTGCATGAGCCCTTTAAATTTAACCTTACTATATACATCTGATCCACAACTTTTAATCACCATACGCTGTGATGAAAGTTGAAACTGAATTAGAGTTCGACTCCTCACGTTTCTTCTTCTTCTTCTTCTTCATTTATTCCCCTCAGTTGCGCAAAAGAAACGAAGACGAACTCCCCAAGTTTTAAACCAAATTTCTACGCTAACGCAACTCCTTTGTCTGGTCAGTAAAGGGAAGCTTTCTCACTCTCATAGTCTCATTCGTCACAGTACTTTCGACCAAATGCTTGTCATGGCTCCATCAAAGTTCCCCATTCCCACAGCTCACCACAATTCAGTATACATGCACGCACGAGTAGTCTTCGTCAACCTGTTAATTAATATCTATAGTACTACTTAGTCGTCACGAAATTCACCACTACAAGCAAGAAGAAGAAGAAGATCCACGAAAGAGTACAGCCATTTTATTATAAAAGGACTAGAACCCTAGCTAGCCCCTGATTTCCACCCCATGGAACACATTCTTGGTAACGCAAAATCAATTTTCCAGAGCAGAAAGATGGCGTTCACACCTCCCGCCGACTGTGGGCCGAAGTTCCCACCGCAGCATCAGCCGCAGCAGCCGGGGAAAGAGTACCTCATGAACCCGCTCCCGCAGCCCATCAACCCTAACTACAAGCCCTCCGCCAAACTCCTTGTAAACAACCCATCATTCCGTACCATCATTGTTTCTTTTTTATCTCTAGATTGTTTCATACACCCGAGTAGTTTGTTTCGTGGATTTGGATTCAAAATCCAATATGTTATGGACTTGTCTCAAAGTCCAATGTTTTGCTAGTTGGTTTTAGAGGAGTAAAATCCGTGAGGTATACGGATTTTAAGGATAAATCCGTAGATCTCACAGACTTACTAATCTCATGGTTAGATGTAGGATCAACTTTGAATTTTCGGAGGTCCGATTCCACCTACTAGATACGTACGGGCCTTGAAATGTCGGAGGCCCATACGTATCTAGTAGTTCACTAGTGTTATGGGCTGAGGCCCCAAATTTTGTGAAGGTCCCAAAATCAAATTTTGCATAAGCCAAAAACGAGCCACGTAGTTCGATATAGTCTGATCGAGGTCCCAATATCAGTGAGCCCTGTGCCATTGAACGTGATGGCACAGGTCCACGATCGGTGTGATGAGTTAGACATGAAATTTGAGTGAAGGCTAAAAAAAATCCATAACAAAGTTCAAGAAAGCAAACAATATACTCAGTTTCAAATCCACAATTCATAATAAATGCCCAAATCTTACCAAAACAGTCTCATTTTTTCAAATCTACGACGCAAACCAATCCCCGTACATGATTAACACGTTTTAAAAATGGATGATGCAGGGGAAGGTAGCTCTGGTGACCGGTGGCGACTCCGGAATCGGCCGATCCGTCTGCATCCACTTCGCCATGGAAGGCGCCACCGTCGGATTCACCTACGTCAAAGGCGCAGAAGACACCGACAAGAACGAAACCATCAAACTCATAAAAAAACACAAAACCCCTCCTTCCAAAGACCCAATCGCCATACCCGCCGACTTCTCCCGCGGCTGCGAATCCGAATGCCAGAGAATCGTCAACGAGTTCGTTAAGCACTACAAAACCATCGACATCCTCGTCAACGACGCCGCTGTCCAGTACTACACCAATTCGATCGACGAGCTGACCGAGGACAGAGTGGAGCGGACGTTCAGGATCAACATCTTCGCCTACATCTACATGGCGAGGATCTCGCTGAAGCACATGAAACAGGGGAGCTCGATCGTGAACGTCACCTCTGTTTTGGCCTATGTGGGGAGCGGCGAGCTGGTGGATTACAGCGCGACGAAAGGGGCGATTCTGACGTTTACGAGGAGCTTGGCGCTGAAGGTTGTGGGTCGGGGGATTCGGGTGAACGGGGTTGCGCCGGGGCCGATCTGGACGCCGCTGCAGGTGGCGTCGCTGCCGGCGGAGAGGGTGGCGACGCTGGGGTGTGAGGTGCCGATGCAGAGGGCCGGGCAGCCGTTTGAGGTTGCGGCGGCGGTTGTGTTTCTGGCGAGCAATGAGTGCTCTTCTTACTTTACTGGCCAGGTGCTGCATCCCAATGGTACGTATATATAAATCGGTTACCCTATTCAAAGTAGTTCGGGTTTTACCCATACCCATATGAGAAATGGGTAGAAAATAAAAAATCATGCTCATACCTGTTCGGGTTTCGGATATCCACGGTTATCCATGAATACTAATTTCTCTTTATAACTCCAACCAATATGTTAACATTCACACGTATTCTCACATTATATAAGAGGAAAAGTATGACAATAATTCACTAGAATGAAGAAAATTAATTAAAACAACATAATTTCATGAAAATGTTATATTTATATGCTAAATATAAAATATGTTCGAGAAAAATAATGATTATTTCTAGACCAAATACATATGCATGAGTGTAATTGGGCGGGTTCGGGTTGGATAGTGAGAAAACCATACACACCCATTACCCGCAATATTCGGGTTCGGGTTTTACCCGTACCCACTAAAAGTTCTTTGGGTTCGAGTTTTACCCTACCCAATTAGGTCGGATTCGGGCGGATATCCACAGTTACGGATATTTTTGCCACCCCTAATAAAATCGTATGACCGTGAGAATGACCTTCTATCAGGGTCTAAACTGACAGGTGGTTTTTTACGGTTTAGAACGATTGAAATAATACAATAAAACTACGATTTCAGCGTAAAATAGTATGATGTTATGACTTTTTATTTTATACAACGGTCGATATGGTTTTACCCGCATGTTTGTGATGTCGGTTGTTGGCAATTGCAGGGGGGATGATTGTTAATGCTTGAACGGTGTTTGCTGTGTGAGTCGATGAAGTTTCTTTCGGTTTATTATGGTTCGGGCTGAGATTTGTGAGAATAAATTCAAGATTTGGGTATGCTCGATGTAACACTGCTCATGTATGGATGATGTAATGGGTACTTTGATGAATAAAATAACGGAATCAAACTAGTGTGTAACCTGATTGTGTGAATTGTTGTTTATGGTTCATTCGATATGGATTGTTAAGCATGAAGTGGATGAATAACGTTGTTATTGCGTGTATAGTTAGTAGAAATACGTTAGCGGAAACCTTTCGAAACATACTAACGAGCGTCAGATTATAATGGTGTTTCTAATTCTATTATTGATAAAGCAAAATTAATTCGATGACTCATTGTGACAGTCAGTACTAATAGAAATCCCTAAAGCAAGTTGAGGAAACTTTTTTAGCTCCGCTTTTCTCGGAGCTAAAGGTCCCGTACACCCGTAACCCTAACTAGCGGCGGCGGTTGTAGGCCATGGCCGGCCTGGCGCCGGAAGCCTTCACCATGAAGGCTCCGTCGCTGGATGCAGCATCTGGGCAGCGTCGACCCCCCTCGGCGACGTCGTCCCCGAACACCAAGAGGGAAAAAGAAGCGCAGCAGCCGAAGAAGAAGGCGAAAGCCATGTGTGCCAACCCCCTTTTCGAGACGGTGCCAATGGAGGAGGAGAGGGGTTTGGACGGAGAGAGCCAAGAGACAAATAAAGAGGGTGTCTCGGGGGAAACGGCCCCGGCGTCGGCATGGGGCACAGGGGCGAGGAAGCTTTTCTCGACCGTTCTTGCTGAGGAGGAATGGTACGTAGCTGAATCAGACTCGGAGGATGTGGCAGAGGCTATGCGGGAGGATGACCTGGACGATGAGATACCTGAGGATGATGACCCGCGGTGTCCCACGATCCCCTTCAAGGCCTTGGAAAAACAACGGTATCGTCGAACTTGGAGGTCAGCGCTCATTGTCAAAGTGCTCGGCCGTACGTTCCCTTCCCGATCATCTCAAAAAGGCTAGAGACGATGTGGGCCAAAACGGGGAACATCCAAATATCTAGCCTATCATATGGTTTCTACGTGGTTCGTTTTAGGAACCAGATGGATTATGAACAGGCAGCCATGGGAGGGCCATGGATGATTGGCAACCATTACATTACGGTGCGGCCATGGCGGAAGGGTTTTGACGCCAAATCCGCGGAGGTGGCGACAACACTGGTCTGGGCTCGCCTGCCGGAGCTGCCAGTGGAGTTCCTGAACCGGGAAGCTGTTGAGAGGATTGCTTCAAGAATAGGTCGTCCGGTTCGAGTGGACCGTGCTACCACTACTGGGGCGCGCACGAAGTATGGCCGTGTTAGCGTTGAGGTGGATCTTACTAAACCTCTACTGGGGCAGTACAAGATCGAGGGTAAGACTTACTACGTGGAGTATGAAGGTCTGCACAATATTTGCACTGAGTGCGGTGTTTATGGACATGCAAAAACAACATGTCCGACGCTAAAGAAAGATCATGTGGAAAGGCCAGTGGAGCCTCAACCGAGTCCCGATGCTCCACCTGTTCCGCCTGCGGCTTATGGAGAGTGGATGATGGTCAGGCCAAAATCGAAACCCTCAGGAAAGACGAACCCAACCAAGAATGGGAGTGGGCCCCTGCAGCCACTGGAGGTGGCGCTCTCGCCTACTGGGTCGCGTTTCTCTGCCCTAATGGAAGAGGATACTTTACAAATGGAGACTGGAAACGGCGGGGGCGGAGAGTCGCCTCCAAGCATCCCCGTGACTTTGCAGGTAGGGGAAACGGGTCTCGTTGGTGGATCCCACAGCCACCCGGGTGCTACCAGCCCCCTTGGGATGGCTGAGGTTGAGCAGCCAAGAAGCAAAACTTCTATGCCCGCAGTAGTGAGGGCACAGCCGGCCAGCAAGGCGGTGAGTGGAATTATCCAGGAACTGGTGAATGTCCCTATTCAGCAGGCGCCTATAGGGAGTGGCAGGAAAACGGAGACAAGCCTGAAAGTGGCCAAGAACGGAAGCATGGTTTCGTCCATGACGTTGGGTGCCCAAAAGGCTTCGAACCAGACCAAGGGTCAAAAAGGGACCAAGCGTGGGGCGGAGAAGAGTGTCGGGAGTGGACAATCCTCGGCCCAGAGACAAACAGGGACACTGGATACCCGGAGCTCCTCCTTGCAAGCTCCTGAGATGGCAAAGCCGGGAGGGCAGGCCACCCCCTGGCTCCTCCTTCCTGCTAATTGGGCTGTAGCCCGTTCCCAGGGAAGTCTTCTTTCCCTTGTACATATTCGTGTCCTCTTCTTGTTTAGTTGATTGTTATGTTAGACATTTTTGCTTGGAACTGCCAGGGTGCAGGGAGTGATGAGTTCTTGGTGTATCTGAGGAACTTCTGTGCCTCTACGAGGCCGGACTTGGTGATTATTGTGGAGCCCCGCATTAGCGGCGATTTAGCTCGCAATGTAATTCGCAGGACGGGTTTTGATGGCAACCTAATTATGGATGCTGTTGGTTTTTCAGGAGGCATTTGGGTCTTATGGCAGCAGCAAAATCTCCTGGTCACCTCCATTACGAAGTGGGAACAAATGGTACACGTGCAATGCACGAAGCGGGGGGCAAGGGAGTCTGTGTTCGTTTCAGCGATTTATGGTAGCCCCAACGCAGCCCTCCGTCAACAGCTGTGGGGGGAGATACGACGGCTATCCGTTCAAACTACCGCTCCCTGGGTCCTAATTGGCGATTTTAACTCCATACTGGGACCGACGGAGCGCTGTGGGGGGGTTCCATACCAGGAGGCTCGCTCTCGCCCGTTCAGGAATTGCCTGGATGATAGCGGGCTGATTGATATTAATTTCTCCGGCCCGAGGTTCACATGGCGGAGGGGCACCCTCCAACAACGACTCGACAGGGCAATTTGCAACAAACTCTGGCTGACCCGGTTCCCTCATTCGATCACGCGGCATTTAGAACGGATTGGGTCGGACCACAGACCCATTTTTCTTTTGGGAGGTCAGTCGCAGAGGGGTAGCTCGGGGCCGAAGCCGTCCCGGTTCATGGCTGCATGGCTGGTGCATGAGGATTTTGAACGTGTCCTGTCAACTAGCTGGGACCAAGCTGACACGTTCCGGGCCTCTTCTGAGGTGCTTACTGGCGAGCTAACTGAATGGAACAAAGTAACGTTCGGCCATATACTCCATCGTAAGAGGAAGCTTGCGGGTCGATTGAGGGCGCTGGAAGCGGCAAATGAAAGAGCGGGCTCGGCGGCCTCCCGGGAGGAGGAAAGTGCAGTGCGAAAGGAGCTGGAGACTACTCTCTGGCAAGAACATATAATGTGGTTCCAGAAGTCAAGGGCCCAGTGGGTGGTTTATGGGGACAAGAATACTCGGTTCTACCATCTCTCAACGCTGAAGAGAAGAAGTTTCAACAGGATCCGGGGGTTGCGGAACAGTGAAGGTCTGTGGGTGTTTGAGGAAGTTGAACTGTGTAAAATGGCAAGAGATTTCTATGTGATGCTGTACCAGGAAGAGGAGAGGCCCCCTCCAAGCTTGCCGGCTGCTTTCCCGGAGCTAGGGCAGGATAGTATGGGTGGTTTGGAGAGAGCTATCTCTCGGGAGGAAACGTGGGCGGCAGTCAAGAGCATGGGAGGGTTCAAAGCTCCCGGCAAAGATGGTTACCCTCCCTTGTTTTACCAAAAATGCTGGAGGGTGGTAGGTGACTCTTTTTCCTCTTTTGTCATGGCCATGTTCGCTGACCCTAGCTTGATTATGGGGGTCAATGAGACGCTACTGGTTCTTATTCCAAAAAAAGATAGCCCGGAAACCATACAGCAGTTCCGTCCCATTGGTCTATGTAATGTAATATACAAGACCCTCACCAAGTGCCTTGTTAATCGCATCAAGCCGTTGATGAGAGAGCTAGTGCATCCAACCCAGACGAGCTTCGTACCGGGTAGACAGATCTCGAGTAACATCGTCATCCTGCAGGAGGTGGTCCATTCCATGAACCAGAAGAAGGGTCGGAAAGGAACCATGGTGCTCAAGATTGATCTAGCAAAAGCTTATGATCGTGTGAGTTGGAGCTTTGTCCAGGAAACTCTCACCCTCGCGGGGCTTCCGGCCAAGTTTATCGAGGTTATTATGGGCTGCATTTCGTCTCCAACAATGCAGGTTCTTTGGAATGGAGTTTGTACAGAGGCGTTCACCCCTACCCGGGGCCTTCGGCAGGGCTGCCCCCTCTCTCCTTACCTCTTCACACTCTGCATGGAGCGGCTTAGTCACACCATTCGTGAGGCGGTGGCTACCGGTCGCTGGAAACCGGTTGTGCTCGCACCAGGTGCCCCTCCCCTCTCCCATCTCTTTTTTGCTGACGACCTTATTCTATTTGCAGAGGCGACGGAAAAGCAAGGAGAGGTAATTATGGATTGCCTCGACCGTTTTTGCCATGCTTCGGGCCAACAGGTGAGCAAGGAGAAGTCGGTGATACTCTTTTCCAAGAACATGGCTCGCCCTTTGTGTTCAGAAATCTCTCGCAGAGTGGGGATCGCCATGACACAGGACCTGGGGCGTTACCTAGGGGTCCCTGTATTGCATGGGCGGGTCACCAAGGAAACTTACCGGTACATTCTCTCTCGCATGGATAACAAGCTGGCGGGTTGGAAAGCCAAAAATTTGTCCTTTGCAGGAAGAGTGACCTTGGCCATGTCGGTGCTAAACACTATGCCGACGTACGCTATGCAGACGACTCTCTTGCCTGTGTCCATTTGTGATGATATTGATAGGCGAATTAGAAGTTTCATCTGGGGTTCCTCAGCTGAGACGAGGAAGATGCACCTGGTTAACTGGGAAGCTATCTGTCGACCTAAGAAGGAAGGGGGGCTGGGTTTCAGGAAGGCTCATGAACTTAATCTAGCTTTTTTAGCTAAACTTGCTTGGCTTTTCATGAAAAACCCAGAGGAGTTGTGGGTGCAGGTGTTGCAGGCGAAGTACTTTAAGGTGGTGGAGGGCCAGCTGGTGGCTAAATCCGCGGCTAGAGCCTCAACGCTCTGGCGAGGGATTCGAAAGGCATGGCCGGTGATGACGAGTGGCACCGCTATGAGTATCAAGGATGGCCAATCAACGTCGTTCTGGACGGATAGGTGGGTTGATAGTGGGGAACGGCTACTTGACCATGTGCGGGAAGAGGCTC